ATCTATCTATCTATCTATCTATCTATCTATCTATCTATCTATCTATCTATTAAACAGACCTCCAACTCTCTAAGAAAGTATTTAGATCTCATATTTACTGTATGGAAGATGACCAGTTAAGTTTTCCTAGTGAAGTTTAAAATAAACTTATTTGTATAGGGGTCTCTAAATATTAGAAAGCACCTTCTACAACTCTTACTGTAAAAGATCCAAAAACCTAAGTTTAATATGGATATCTCCCATACTAAATTCCTATATACAATTAAGGTTTCACAATAAAAAAAATTCCTTCAATTTTTTAAAATAAAATAAAACCCCATGTAAGTACTTTGGTAAAGAGATGCTCAGTTATTAAAACTATCCGACCCATTCTTCCAGGCAGTCAAAGTTATTGCTACTCACTACTCTGAAGTGACCAGTAGTCAGCAGTAGTAGTAGTGAAGCCTTACCCTGTGGGGTTGGCGTCTCGACCGGCTGAGAGGCTGCCTGCAAGCCTGGCTCGGAAGCAGAGGAGTCTCCCAGCTCAGGATTTAGAGGGGTCTCCACAGAGGCAGGGGCAGCTGCAGAGGGAGAAGGGAGAACACTGGGCTTGGATGAGGGAGTTGAGGCAAGAGGGGTGCCTGGAGGAGGAGAAGCCTGTGATCCACAGTGTGAGAGTGAGGCGAGGGGAGGCAGCGGCGGCAGTGGCGGTGGTGGTGGAGGCGGCGGTGGCGGAGGAGGTGGCGCTGCTGGCCCTGAGGTAGGCGGTGGAGACACTGGGTATGTTACAGAGTCCAGCAGCCCATTGGGTGCTGTCGGTGACGGAGGCATTTGGGGCACAGGAGAGGAGACACAAACGGGGAGGACAGGCCTTGGGCCAGTAGCTTTGCCAGGAGGACTGCTAATCATTATCGGAGGAGATGGAGGGAGGGGCGAGAAATTGGAAGTAGACCAGGCACAGGACTTCGCAGCTGGAGGCTGAGAAGAGGGTGTGTTCACAGGAGAAGAAGGTCGAGAGTTTTTGTTCAGAGGACGAGGAACTGTAGCATAATGGGGAAGAACAGGGTGGAAGGCTGAACCTAGAGATGTTGCAAAACGTGTCGCTGAGTGTCGCAGTGGTGGTGTAGGGGGTGTGGAAGTAGGTGGCAAAGCAGTCACTACAGCGTAATCAGGAGTGGCATCTGACACTGGAGCTGAGATGACTTTAGCATATGATGGAGGAGGTGCTGAAGGAGGCTGGCAACTGGAATACTCAGGAAGTGGAGCATTATACAGGGAGCTGTCTGAAGATGGAGCTGGACATAAGGTGGAAAGCAGCGGCAAAGACAGGATAAAAAAGGAGAGAGAAAAAGGGAGCTAGTGAAGCCACAAAACCAGCAATCAGACAAAATGTATAAACGTAGACTATAGTTAGTACCAGAAAATTAGGCAAATAATTGTCTCCACTTGAGAAAAGTTAACTTGTCAACATTTTTGAAATTCGAAAGAGGATGAAATATATTCTTTTAACTACATGGATTAATACTCTATCCTTTAGAGGAAAAGGATAGTAACAGTCTTAACTTTATTATTTAGTCCACTAAAACAGCATCAAAATTATTACAAACAGCAGAATAAACTGAGTTGTTTCGAACATGGCAAAATGTTTAGTACGAATGGAAAGAACACCCACTTAGTGCTTCCTTGTGGGCATCTCTATCTTCTCAGCTGTAACTGCAGACAGTAAGGCAGTGAAAAACTATGAATTAACCAACTAGCCAATACTGAACCCACACTGGCTTCTGATGTAGCTCAGAAAGATTAAAGTTTTCTGATAAATACTAAACACCTTAAGCTTTACCATATTATAAACCTCTATGACATTTGATAAATCCCTGACTGTTATTTTTCACAATACCAGAAAATGTTTAAATAAACAGTTATTTTAAGTGGATATTTCCACCTATTTTAATTTTTCCTTCAGAAACCTGACTATACCCAAGCTAACTTGGTGCTGTATGTAGCATAGGAGAGTATGTGATAACTTTGACTCTACAAGGGAAATATCTTCTAAGATCATTATAAAAAAAAATCTATGCATAAAAACACATTCACACTTTATAGCTGAATTTTAGGGCAGCAAGAAGAATTAAAATGGTAAAACAAAAACCCCAAGAGCTTTCTTTTAGTTTCTAAGCAATAAAAGAAAACACTGAAGCAATAATTGCTTATTATTTTATCCTAACTCCAAACTGCACTGCTTATTCCCCAGCACGCACATGTGAAGTATCACAATTCTCGGCTGCAGAGATCCTTGTCCAGGTCAGGCACAGGAGACATAAGTCTGCAGTCTTACCAGCATTAGACACTCTGCGCTCGCGCTCTCGCTCCCACTCCACTTGCTCGCGCTCCAGCTGCTCCAGGCGCTCTCGGTCTTGCCGTTCTCTCTCCAGGCGTTCCAGCCGCTCCCTCTCCAGGCGTTCCATGTGCTCCCTTTCCTGCCTCTGCCGCTCCAGCTGCTCTTGTTCCAGACGCTCCCTCTCTAGCCTCTCTCTTTCTAGTCGTTCTCTCTCCAGCCTTTCCCTCTCCATTCTTTCTCTCTCCAGCCTCTCCCTCTCCAGATCCTTCTGTCGCTGCTGTTCTTGCAGCTGTCTGAAATTAAAAACCAAATAAATAAAACTAGAACCCATGGTCACTACTTCCACACAAATGCAGGCTCCTTACAGACACCTTGTATTTTATACCAATGGAACTAACTTCTCAAGAGCCACATGGGCTCAGTCAGCACAGTTTTTGAGAATAGAGTAGCAAATAAACCTCCCACTATAATCACCAAATCATTATATTAATCAGATGATGAAATAATTTTAAAATGCAATCTTTTTCTTAAAAATGTAACATTTTAACTGCAGAAGTTACAGCTTCAGGAAAAACAATGATTGTAGCTATACCTGAATAAACATTTGGTGAATAGAAAATAAACCCAGTTAAGTAAGAAATAAACTATAAATCACTAAAATTTCATGTCTATAGGTAACTATAGTTAACATTTTGGTATATACATCTAGACCTTTTGTTTTATACTAACACACCCATAGATTTTAAAATTCATTCAAATCAGTATCATCTCACCACAACTCTGAAATCTGCTTTTTCTGACACAATGAACACTGGAAAAATTACCGTAAACCCTTAGTGTAACCTCTTTAACTTCCATGAGCACATGAACAGCACTGCTTAGCTCTTAAGAGTTTGAGCGGTCTCCAGCGCTGGATATATTTACCCTGGCGTACAGGTAGAACATTGTGTACATAATAAATTTAAAAACTATAGACAGAAAAGATAATTTTTTCAATAATGTATATATAATAAAGAAACTCAACTGAGGTTTATATTAAAATTTTAACTAGGGGCTAGGAATATGGCTCAGTGTTTGAGTACTAGCTGCTCTTCCAGACGACCTGGGTTTGATTCTCATCACCTACATGGTGGCTCACAATCATCTGTAACTCCAGCTCCAGAAGATCCAACACTCTCTTCTGGCCTTGAGGCAAAACACTCACACGCATGAAAAAAAATTTTTTTAAAAAGAAAAGTGACCATTGCTAATTTGAAAAAAAAAAACATTAGGTTTTAGGAGGTTTAAGTTTTGTGCTTCTCTTTTCATTTATCTCAAAACCATATGTGTATATATCAAGCTTACAACAGAACAAACAATAGCTTACCATCTTAACACTTCCCTACCCATTTCCCATTTTAGCTGATTGATTTCCATTTTTAATGGCAAAAGCCTTCCACAACAACCGTCACTACACAGACACACACACAAACAGCCATAAGAAATAACTTGGCTAAATCAATATTCAGGAACATTCAGGGTTATATTAGCATTATGTAAACACTGACCATAGCTGAGCTACAAAGTATTCTGACAGCAATTTGTCCTCATTCTGATTGCTGGGCAAAAAAACAAAAACAAAAACAAAACAAAACAAACAAACAAACAAAAAAACACCTGTTAATATCTGGTTCTCTAAGCAACACAATGCTTTTAACACACGAAGTAATGAGTAATGTTTGATAGTCATTAAAGGTAAGATAGGTATGGATGTGGTGAATCTGGAAGCAACATCGAATATAGACATTTATAACAGCAATATATTGAGTTCAGAAGATTGCTCTACCTGTCAATCTCTAAAGGCTCTATAAGTCTATAAGTTAAGAGTGTCTAAGGAAAAAAGCACAATACCGGGGAATACTTTCAAGTTTGCTGATATATAACTCAAATAAGCTGATGATAACCTTCAAGAGACTGGTGTTTGAAGAAAGCCTGCTCACTGAGAAGATGACTATGCATTGTAGACAAAAACCAGCATGAAGCACAAATTTTCTGCCTTACAAATCCTTGGTGAGCATGAATAATTCCTACCTCAACTGAAGGACTTACAAATCTGCCTATAATGTTTTAATCTATAAAGTAAAACATCCCTAAATCTTTTTAGTAGTTTCCAAGATTTTGAAGCTTGCTTTCCTCAGAATCATCACTACTAGCTTGCATACTGGAAGTTCATGTGGCCCTTCTTCCTAGAGGTCATACACATCAATTGCTGTTATCTGCCATTAGCAGAACCATCTCCAGATTTTACTACAACACACGTGTCTGAGTTCCAGGCTGGGGGAAAATTTCAAAAGGTTTGTTTTCTTTGAGTTTGCCATACATTTTAAATAATTTGAATGTTTCAGAAGAAACAATTACATACCTTTTCCAGAAATAAATATAAACGAATACTATTATGGCCATTAAAGTATTTTTAAATGTATTGAATAAAAATATAAAGTATAGTTTTCTTCTATCACTGAAGTGTTTTCCTCCAAAACAGCAGGCCCCAAATGCAAACAGATACTGAAAGAACTGGCCCACAATGAAATCAATATATACACACAGAAACATGCACTTAATTTATGTTTACTTAAGACACAGTCTTGTGAAACATGTAAAATATAAATAAAATGTCAAGATATATTTTATTAATCTTTACCTTGAATGGCGGTTGTGTAAATATAGATTTCAATTCAAGACAGGGTAGCACTATGTAGCCCCAGCTAGCTCTGAACTCACACTGACCCACTAACTTCTATCTCCAAAGTGCTGGGATCAAAGGTATACACTACCACATCTGGTGAACATACATACCTTTTTATTGTAAAATGTGGGCATTTAATCTATTAGTTAAAAAAGAAGAGGAGGAGGAAGACTCTTTAAAGAAGACAACTGAGTTTTAATGTCACAAGGCTCCTGTGACAGGAGTCAATACTTACAACAAAATCCGATCAACTCTTGGTCCATCCTGCCTCTGAAGGACAATGGGAGTGCTGTACACTTTCATTACTCCAGTTCCTCAGTTCCTTGCTGGGATTATTATCCCCCTTTTATAACTTTCAGTTAGTGATGATTTACTAGCTATTTATAGATATTAACTAAATTATCCTCTATGTTGAGAGCACAGGACTGACTCATGTTTCTTAGAATATATTTTTCCATCATAGCCAAGGTAGCCAAATATTAATGAGTAAGAACCAGAAACTGACTTAATGAATGACAGACACACGAGTAAAAGACTATATTATGGTATAATAAAGGTATTGTATCAACAAGGTTTAATATTTACTCTAACATTTAACATTTATTTTGCCAACTAACTTCATACTGATTACAAAAAATAAACTTATAAAAGCAATGCCTAGTTTAAAGGTCAAAGAGCATCATAATGCATCTTACCAATGCTCACCACTTCTGGTTTCACAATTAAGTTTTCAATATTCTTGTAGTTATTTCACGTTTCTAAATACAGCAATTTCTTTAGAAACATTTCTTCTTGGGCTGGAGAGATGGCTCAGCCATTAAAAGCTAGGTTCACAACCAAAAATATAAGAAATATTTTTTTCTTGTCATTTCAAATTGATATGTCACTATTTTTCAACTAGACAAATTATTTAATTCCTATGTTCTGGGAGACTGGCACTGGGGCCTGAATCTCCATGAGCTCTATCCCTAAGCTATACTCCAGCCCTGACTCTACCCACTCTGGCTACTCCTCATTTTCCAATCTCCCTATAAAGTCAGAGCACTTTGACTACAGCAATACTATTTTTTATTTTATATGTATGAGTGGGTGTTTTGTCTGTATATGTCTGTGCAGTGCCTGGAGGGACCAGAAGACACTGGACCCTATCAGAACCAAAGTTAAAGACAGCTATCAAGTGCCATGTGGGTGCCAGAAGAGCACTATTGCTCTCAACCATTGAGCAGTCTCTCCAACCCATGTAAAACTCTCTGAATGACTTCCTACTTCATACTGAAATGATGAGGGAGTGTGTGTGCTAATTCACATGCTAGCTAATTCAGAAAAATTCACCCTGAAATGAAGTATTATCCACTTGATTTTAGGGATGAAAATGTGTTAAATTTCAAGCCTACTTCTAGTATAATCCTCAGTACACATAAAAAAAAAAAAATCCAGTCCATGGTACAAAATCCAGTCCCTACAGTTTACTAGGGGATCCAGTCTAGCTCAAGCAGCTTGCTCTGGGTTCAGTGAAAGATTGTTTGAAAAAATGTAAAGAGCTATTGAAGATATGTGATGTTGCCCTTGGACTTCTACATGCATGGGTACATGTATGTGGGACACACACAAATACTAAAAACAGAATAAGGCTGATTGAAGGGAACAGACACTATTATATTCTAAGTCTATTTAATGTATTTTTAGATGTAACACAAGTATGCTTTTTACAGATAAAACGGAAGTCATAATTTCATCATAATTTCAAAGAACTGAAGGACATAATGATTGTCAGTGTCCTCTGGGTCTGCTGCAAAGAAGGAAATGTAAATGTACAGACTCACCTTCTCTGGATTTCCAACTCTTCTTGGGATGGGCCATTTTGAACTTGAGCAGGTAGTTGTGTATTTTGTCTAGGCAATGTTGGCCCTATAAGGGAGGGAAACATTACAGATGAGCGCTACCATTCTACCTAGCTGGATGGAGGAAATTAAACCATGAGAACAACATAAAATCATCACATATTAAAAATGCATCTTCTTTTTGTCTAGCAAAATAAAATATAAGCTTTACATAACACACAGCAAATGAAAGACTGCAACATAATATTGTCATCATCTTTAGAAGGTTTACTTGAAACAAATGGAAACACCAACAATAAAGGAAAAAAATAAACATTTATATATGAAGAGCTTGAGTAAAACAAGTGTTCAATGAGCACCTGGATAGGCACCTGAGCTTGACATTCTCTAAGACAATGAGACATTCTGTTCAGGGTAATTGTTCATGAGGTGGAGAGGAAAAACTTAAATGAAAAATCAGAATTAAAAAACTCACCTAAATAGAACACTGGAAATGAAAAACAGGAGAGAGAGAGCATGAGAACCTCATTACCAGACTGGAGCATGCTAACGCATTTATCAAACTTGCCCAACTTGAGCTGCCATTTCTGTTTCATGGCATTGCATTTTTATTACTGGAGAAACAAACATTTGCTAAACTCCCATACACTGTATTAACCTATTTATCTCAATTTTTAATGTTATAGGTAATCTTAACTTTCGAGGTAAGAAAGGCGGGGGGGGGGGACTGTTCACACCAACATGAGAAAGCACTGACCATCCACTCCCACAACTACATACAATGTAGACCCATCTTTAGCATCTTAGACTGTCACTAAATTATGGAAAATCGTATTGCCACTGGATATAAAAATTAAGTGAGATACATGCTGTACCTACAATAATATCTGATACTAACCTAAGGTTGAACAGAACAACCTTGAAACCCGCAACAGTAAAGTAAGAACTTGATGACAAGTTTCCACCCGTTCTCTGAGGAGGGTGTTCTGACTGCTAGTGTGCCACCAAAAAACCCCTAGCAAGGATCCTTAGAGTTTTGTAGAGCACTACTATAAAAAAGTAAGTAAATAAATGCTGTGTGTACTGGGACATGTTACTGTGATCTGTGAGTGAAGATCATGAAAGTAGCTATTTTATCCTCGTGGGGCAGCGCCAAAGCTGGAAGCAAAAGTTGATCAGGATGTAACACAGCACTGGCACCTCCCAGGTGTTGAAAACAGAAAAATGATCTGAACTTACCTACTAAATTTTTCATCTCTTTACATGTTTTTAGATTAATCATTTAATTTGTCCTCTAATGACAAATTAATGACAACTGCAGCAATAGATTTCATTAAATATAAGTCTACTACTTTGCAAGCCAAATAAAATATAAAATAAACCCCATGTAATTTAACAAGAAAAACAAAAACACGTTTTAAACTCAAAGTCAAATACACACATAAATGTTTACACAAATGAAAATATAACGGTTGTCTAATAAACAGAATGTTTAGAAAATTAACACAATGACTTTTTGGAAAAACTGTCATACTGTGCTATACTCTGATGCTTACTATTTTAGAGAGAAAAGATCCTTTCAGAAGAAGGTAGAAAGACATAGAAGTTTGAAGGATAAATTTAAGACTCTATAAAATTGGGGAAGTATAATTTATATGCCCATACTTTTATTTTAAAACTATAAAATCAAAGCATTTTGCAAGGCCAACTTAAAGACCATTAAGGCTTACTTTTAAAAATACTCTTTAACTGTTTAAGTTAAAACTTCAGCCAGTATAAATAATGGAACAGTTGTAAGTCAGTAATATAACTGTCATGTTCATATCTAGAAAAGGCACTGTATCTCAATGATCCTATTAATGAGTTAAATCTATGTTTTAGCTGAAATCTATAAATTCAAGTCAAAGATGTTAAAATTTCAATTTAACCTTTTGACATTATCAAACGATTTTTATTCATTTTAAAAAAAAACTAACTCTGGGCCCAGTGTGGTGGTGTATGCCTGGAAGCTCAGCAACCACAGAAGAATTCTGAGTTCAGGCTCACCCTGGGCTATATATACTTACATACTATCAACAAAACAAAACTATAACAAACTGAATAGGGAAATTTACTATAGTTAATTCCTGGCACATGAGATGAGAAGAATTTCAAGGGATTATTTTGAAATGGGGATTTTCATCTAAAACTAACCCTTACAATTCTTTGCTATGTAGCTTTCTGATAGAGCCATTTGTTTATCCGGGCATTCTCAAAATCCCTCCTCCTTTTGACATCTATATTTAATCTGCTTATTTTGTTTCTTCATCAATATTGCCAAGTTGTAAAAACTAATATTAAAAACTAGCATAATGAAATATATGTGCAATTAAACATAATTTAATTATAAACATACTATGGTTATTAGATAAAAATTCTAGATATATTATGAACTAGAGGTACACAATTACATTTTTTTTCTTGTCAAACATTTTAATGGATTATAAAATTGGTAAGTTGTATCAAAGGTATCACACAAACAACAGAAAACAGAAACTAGGTTAGGCAAGGCTATCAGGGGCTGTATTTTCTGAAATGTATATTATTTTTTCAAACGGGCCATATTCCTAAATGAGTATCTGTGTTCTCATAAGATATAAAATAGGTACTTTCATAACCATCTCAGTAGGCAAATGACAATATTTTACCATGCATGGTATGAAGGTTATCAGTTATCTTTTGAAGGGGAAAGAGAAGCCACCAAGGAGCAGGTATGAGTGATAGTGCTCTAGTCCTTCCAGGGAGGAGTGGCAACTGCCTGAGGTTTGCTTTATAACCAGACAATGGTGGGTCCTAATTTGTCCAAGCTAGAAGGTGCAAAGTAAAGATTGTGAATTACTGTTCTTAATAAAGACAACATGGTAATGTTGCTGAAAAGCATCCTATAAATGATGGAAATCTGATATGAACCCCTCTCCAACAGGAATGGCGGTTCAGTCTTGCCTTCAATATTGAGTTTTGGTTAAAGTACATTTCATTTACTCTCTCCATTTTAATTCTCATAAATCTAGTTTCACATTTAGCCACAGACCATTTAAAAACACAGAACTAAAATACAAGTAGGTGCTATTATATACAATACAACCAAACTTAAACTTGGCAACCAGATTGTAGATTGTACACAAATGGAAGACTGTTATAAAGGAAATCTGTTTTAACCTGTAATTTTAGAAGTTTTAAAAATTCACCTTTATTAATTAGGTCAAATCACTTTTCCCACTTTAAAATGGGGGTAAGCTATCACTCTACACATGGATCTCAAGCACAAAGTTACGATATTAATGCATTTTCAAAATGAACTGAAGAGAGGTCTAATCACACAGTATCAGTATTGCTCATAGAAGCCCAGGAAAACCCTAAGGAAAGACACGAGCAGAAACAACGTCACTGATTACAAGCAATCTGCAGTGCTAAGCTGGAGTCTGGAAGAGGGGAGGAGAGGCTGATAACAAGTCATAAACTAGGTGCTCACTGGTGTGACCATCAGCTGGAGCAAATCAAAATATAACTTATCTGACCATGAGATACATTAGAATTGTCTTTCTTTATTTTTTCTTATTTATAGCATGTTTGTCTAAACCAGTAAGCACATCAACTTAAAGAGGATTTTCCTTAAAGAAACCATATCAACAATACTGAAAAACTACACTAAAAATTCTGGGTCACATGGATAAAGTACACACACTAAACTAGCAATTCAATTTTTTTGCTTACACCATCTTATAGTTTTATCTCACGAAATAATCTAGCTAGTCAAGATGAGTCAATAAGTATATGTGAATCAATAAAAAGTTCAAATAATTAATACATTTTTGTTGAAACTTGATTTTCAAAATGGGAGGATTCAGAACCAAACAGAAAAGAAAGAATTCAAACAATGATATGTATCTATATACTTATCTATATAAACAATTTCTTGCGCAAAATTTATATATATAAATTTATATATATATATAAATGATTGATCAGTGCCAACCTGGGTGGCTAAATGACATACCTAATTTAACCATGCAAATAATACATGTATGTACACACATGTATGTTTATGAGAGTGAGTATGACAGAAAACAATATATAAGCCTAAATTCACTTCTAAGCCACAGAAACCTAACCTATTAAATAGAAGAGGTTGTCATCTGAAACCAACCTATTAAAAAAGTAAGCTTACATCTGCCTGTACAACATGCACACCTAGAATCATTCAAGATTTAAAAAAAAAAACCTCCTTTCAAATAAGGTACATTTACATTATCCAAATCATATGAAAAATGCATATACCTTTTTCTTTTAAATTAAATTGAATGTCAGCTCCCAAAGTAAATTATAATTTAAAAAACTTCTCTCATTTATATTGGAAGAGGTAAACAAAGAATTCTAAGACCCTACTTCTAACTAATTCCTTACTAGTAAGTCAACTCAAAACCACCTACATGAACCACAACAAATATCACAACATAAAACAGAAGCTTGTTTTATATCCCAGATACCACAAACCAGACTATGGCCTAGGAAACAAAAGTTATGGAAATGTGCAAGTCGTATGTACCACAGCTTGAAAAAGTAATGTAAACATAATGTTGCTTACCACAGAAAATACATCGCAAATTAGTGCTGTCCTGGGTAGCAGTAACCTTGCTCTGGGCTGCAACAGACACCTCGGTGTTAGAAGCTTTGAAGGACAATGGGGCCATCTGAAGAATTTCACATTAACTAAAAGGTGCTTTGAAATGTTCAAAATGTATTTATACATACGTCCTATCTAGACCCTCATTCTGAAAACTTTAAAATTTTACAGCTTAAATATTTCCTGAGTTATACAATCAAAGAATGCAATCTGCATTTTAAGACTGTATTCTTTAAAACGTTAGTGAAAATGAAGTATAGAAAGTTAAGATGTATGGCCAATAGAATTAATTTCATGAGGTCTACCCTCCCATTTAGGAGAACTGCATTCAAAAAAAAAATTCAGGGGAAATACTTAAGATTAGTTTAATTAAGATGACTTTGTACTTAACAATAACCAATGAAATTTACAGAGAGACACTTTATTATTTTTCCCTAGATATGAAAACATACTTGAGAAAATGAATTGCTAAAAATTCTGAGTGGCCACAACTAGCCATTAACCTAAATGATTTATTTACTTTAAAATTTAGTTTATCAATGAAATAAGTTCATAAATTCATTTTAGGAAGAAAAACTCGAAGAGAAAGTGATATCTAAAAAGAGGAATGCTTTAACCAATCAAGACAATATCCAAAACTGGGATGAGAATTTTTTTTCTTACTATTAACAACGTGCAAAATGGTACATAAATAATTTCTCAGAAAAATCCTTTTCAGCAAGGAAAAGATTTCGTTTCTTATGGGTACTAGCTAAGAAAACAGTTAATGGCTTAAATACATGTTGGTTTAAGGACGAGCATATTAAAGCAAACAAGACAGTACTTTAGTATATTCTTTAAATAAGACAACTCCTGCTAAGTAAAAATCAGAACCAAACCAACTTATATCCAAAGGTTTATCTTAATATGGTAATGAGCAATAAATAAAAATAATTTTTCATCATCTTAAACAAGACAACATAATCCAATTAAATCTTAAAGTATTAGATACAGTAGGTACTTCAAAGAGCAATAAAATAAAATTGATAATGCTAGCTTTGCTAAGTACTTCCACCTACCCATCTATCAAGGATGCATGCACAATATTTAAGAGTAATAACATAACCACAGGCACACGAAGACAAGCTGAACAAGCTAATGAGACCATGCTAAAGGAGATAAACATTTTAGAAAAATTACGATAATTACATTTTAAATTTAAACTCCTTTATAATATAAGTCTTTTTCATCGGTGTTTATAAATATGACTTCTACTGAACTTTTATTAGTAAACATGCCTAGTTATCAGGTTTTACCCTTTAATCCATATTAAAAGGGAGAAAAACGGAAGGACAATTTAAAAACTCACATGAAAAACCTGAGAAAGTATCTTGTTTCTGACAGCAAAGAAGCGGCCCCATCCCATGAGCAATCATCTCAGCAGAAAGTCACCTGACAACGGTCAGAATGCAGGCACCACTATCACTGCAGACTGCTCCCAACCAAGAATCCCGAGTCTTTCTCGTAACTGGACTACTAGCAATGTCCCTGCACTTGTCATCTTTCAGCATCTCCTTTATGGTGACTTATTTCTGTTATGAGTACAACACTGATTTACTTCTGGCAGGGTTGCTGGAATTCTACTGCAGCCTGCATTTCCCGAAGATACTCAATTATTCATCACATCATATGCATAAGGCTAACAGCTTCCGGCTTACTACTGATGCCATTAACTCTTTCGTTACTAAATCTGAGATTGATTATACAGGTAAATTCAGTATCACCAGTTTAACACTGGTAATAAATGAAAAAACACTTTTCTTTTTTTAAAGCAAGCCATACAATAAAATCTTAGTTAGGTCTAAGGGAACCTGTGTGAAATGCAAAAGGAAACAAACCTAAAGCAATGAAAATTAATCAAGAATGTAGAATTTTAACATCTTTATATTTCTAAAAGTAATATAACCCTCTATCAACTACCTTTGGCCTTTGATCTTGTTGCAGATGCTAACCTGTCTCTTAATGTAAGTTCTGAAACAAACACCTTTCAGGCTTTGCCCACGGCCTTTACTATTTCTATCATTTGATTTTTTTTTTTTAAAAAACAAGGAATCAAAAACACTTTAAGCAAGATACTCTGTAATAGAAATCACAGGATTTCTAGCTTTGATCCGTATCCCTCTATGGTATTATTTTATTATTACATATTACTACTACAGCAGGCCCTCAGGACATCTGGGCTTTAAAAGAAATTAGTGTTTTCTATTATTATTATTATTAGCGTCTTAAGATAATTTGTAAGGGGAACACTGTTCATCTCAGCATTTTGTATTTCTAAGGATTAAAGGAGATAATGTTTGCTTAGACTGGCAGGGATTTGATTTCCTTCCTGAAAAGCTAGTCTTTGAGAGACAGGGCTCAAGGTCAGCATTTAAAGGTGTGGAATTCACACAGCCCTTCCTGACACAGAGGAAGTGAAAGCAAAGGCGAAAGTTTGTTCGAAAGTGAAGAATATAATGGAGGGAGGGAGGTAAATCCCTAAAACAGACTATTCAAGTTGTATTTATATATTTATGTGGTGACACACACCTTTAATCCTCACACTCAGGAGGCAGAGGCAGGAGGATCTCTGTAAATTCTAAGTCAGCCTGGTCTACAAAGCGAGTTCCAGGACTGTCAGGGCTATATTAAAGAGACCATGTTTTAAAAGGAATAAATAAATAAATATTAATTAAAGAAAAAAAGCCATGCATTTGAAAGGGAATGGGGATGGGGGGTTTGAATGCTTGGAGGAATGAAAAGGAGGAAAATGACGTAATTTATACTTTAACTTTAGAAAATTTAAAACCCTTAAAGTCACCAAATTCCAGATTGTGGGCACTATTCAGAGACATGAAAAACAATGGAGATTTTATGGTTGTTTTTTTGCTTTTCAAAACAGAGCTTCTCTGTGTAGGCCCTAACAGTCCTGGAACTTGCTTTGTAGATTAGGCTGGCTGCAAACTCACAGAGATCCACCTGCCTCTTGTTTACTGAATGCTGGGACTAATGATGTGTGTCATCCCTACTAGGCTAATATTGCATTATTAAAACACTTTCACAGTATTATTTCAAATTTTGTTTTGAAACAAAAAGGTTTAATAAAAGAAAATCATCTATCTCAAGAAATGGAGCACTGTGTAGTTATAACCACATATGAAAAAACCCAACATCATCTACATCTCTCACTCATCTATTTAATCTAGAGTAGTGTGTGTGTGTGTGTGTGTGTGTGTGTGTGTGTGTGTGTATTTAGCTTACTCTCCTTTGCTACCAGAAGGTAATAATCCTTCAACTTACAGCTTCAAATGTACTTTTTTATCATTTACTTTTCAAAAAAGAAGAAAAATGACTACAAACAATAGATAAATTGCAGATCATTTATATATACACTGTACAGGCCCCTCCATCCACCATGATTTTATTTTTATTTTTCCTTTATTTTTAACCAAGGAACTACAGACTGTTTCTAGTTTCTAGTTGAAGAAACTTTAGGAGTCAACTCAACTAGATGCTCTGGGGCCTATAATTTATCCATCTTGTCATATCCTGATGTTCTAAACACTAAGCTGTGCCTCTTCATTCATTTCATGGGTTTTTCTCCCTAAGCATAGATCAGGACCTTTCACGCCTTTCAGCCCATTGTCACTTCAAGGTGTCAAGTATACACTCAGAGAAGACAACACATTTGCAGTGGTAGCATGTTTAGTTTATTACTGCAGCATCTGTTAACTTTCAACCAGTATTATCTATTCGATTGCAATAGAAATACAGAACTTCTGACACCTCTTCCCTTTTACTCTTATTAACGAATTCCAAAGCCTGTCCGTGAAGCCTCCTAATTTCCCCTCCTATATTCACTGACATTGTTCTTGTTTGATGACTGATTGCTTAGAAGTATATTCAGTGTTGAGAAGGTTAGCACATACTCAGAGAAGGAAGAAACAGAAACAGTAACACTTCTGTTCCCTTTCCCATAATTTTCATTTTTTTATTTTTGTTTTATAATACATATGCTACGCTAACTCCAAAGTGTGCATATGCATTTATGAAAAATCAAATTTGCCTACTTTTCAGCAAGAATTGAAATAAAAGGGCTGGAGAGATGGCTCAGAGGTTAAGAGCACTGATTGTTCTTCCAGAGGTCCTGAGTTCAATTCCCAGCAAGCACATGGTGGCTCACAACCATCTGTAATGAAATCTGGTACCCTCTTCTGGCCTGTAGGCACACATGCAGACAGAACACTGTAAACAAAATAAATAAATAAATCTTTTTTTTTTTTTGAAAAAAAAAAAAGAATTGAAACAAAGAAAATGTTTTTTGAGACAGGGTCTTACTGGAGAGCACAGCTTCCAAAGACATTCCTTAAGTCAGAACTCTGAATATAGGGTTGAAGAAAAGGCTCCACGGTTACAAACACTGGCTGCTCTTCCAGAGGACCCAGGTTTGGTTCCTAAAACCCGCATCAAGAAGTATACAACTGCCTGTAAGTCCAGCTCCAAGGGACCTGACACCTTCTGTGGGCCTCCGTGGGCAACTATGCACAAATGTATAGACACTCACACACACACATAAATGAAAAAAATTAAAAAGCCCCCAAACCTCTGAATATATATACACCATTCAGAACAGCTCATCAAAATTCAGGACTGTCCTAGTTACACAGGTCAGCTGGTTCCTTTTCCACGGGAACCCTATACTGCCTGTGCCCTTCTTTCTCTCTGTACACTAATTCACTATATTTCAAATAAGTTGCTTACTCAGAAGCCTCTATCAAAAATAACATAGGACAGCAAAATATCTAAATAACAAGAGTTTGAAATTGATTTTTGAAATTCAAAACTACACGCAACTTTACTGTAAAAGTTTTAGTAAGTTTAAAACAAACTGCTTCCACCATGAGACTTATTATATAGAATTAAATACAAAGTTCTTTAAAAATATTTATTTATTTATTTATTATGCATACAATATTCTGTCTGTGTGTATGCCTGCAGGC